AATGCAGATGACAAAGAGAGTTGTAAGGAAAAGAACCCCCCACCCCCACCCCTGGAATAATCACGGCCCTGTTAGAAAGCTGGCAGCAGCCTTCTTTCCTACCTTCAGGAGAAGCACACTCCCCCAACACAACCCATCCAGGAAAATATGGCATTAGGGTCTTGAGCGACCTCTTGTAATTTTCTTTAAGCAAATTGAGAGAGAGAGTGAAGGCAAGAAAAATATGAAACCTGTGACAGAGCAATTTGACAGGGAATTGCAGGCAAGCTTTTTCTCTACATTTGAAAATAAAGGCTAGAAGATGCGAAATCAGTTTTACTTGACAACAGAGCAACATTACAAAGTTTAAAACCTGAAGCCTACCCCTATCCCTGGTGGACCGACACAGTAAGGATGCCACCAGGCTGGCTGCTGGCTCTGCTGCGAAGCAAAACACGTGTCTACCCCAATTGGCTTAGTTTTTTTTTTTTTCCAAACCAAAATAAAACAAATAGATCAGTCTAGATACATAGCCCCCAGCCTTGTGTGTGCAGTGTCTCCACAGAGAGAACAGGATGGAGATGGATATCTCTGGAACACCCTCAAAACTCGTACCTGCCTCACAGGCAGCCTGAGCGCATTCAAAGTAGGTAAACAGGCTCCCTACAATATGCTCATCAACTTTAGGAAAGCGACTTGCCAAAGATTTTCAGAGTTGCAAAGAGAGGTAAGCTGTCACCACCCTGCTTCGCTGTGTGCAGAGGCTCTCTCAGTCCCAGCTGCCCATTCCAACCTCACCTCTGAGGAAGGGGAGGTGGAAGCCTCATCCTGAGAAGGGTTGATTGCAATCCCCTTTCTTTCCATTTAAGCACCTCTGCCCTGGGAGCAACTTTCCCATCCCTCCTCGCCTCTCAGCATCACTAACAGCGACTCCACTCCCTCTAAAGAAGTGGGAAACAGTGAAGGTTTCTTTTAAGCAGGGATAATCATTTCTGCTCATCTGATTGCTTCTCCCCGAGACATTCAACTTGAGTACTTTTCTTTACAAACTGAAAATCACGGAGCAAAGGTGTTTGGTTAAAGCTGCCCTGTACCCCCCCCCACCCCACCCCTGCCCCACGACTGCCCCACCTCCTAGCCCACAGCACCCAAACCTTTAGCAGAAACTTCGAAGCAAAATCAAGCTAACTTTTCCTTCCTTCTTTCATTTCCCTCTTCTCCTGTCTTAACTCAGTTTTCCCTCAAAAGACTACTTCATTCCCTTCTCTGAAATACACAGCCCAGCGATTTCATTTTTTGGTTAAAACACGCATATGCCTGTGTTCTTTTTTTTTTTTTTTTTCCCAGAGGCTGATGGTGGGAACTGGGGAGGTGGGCCCCTCTTCACAGCTGGTTTCTAATCAAGAAGGAAACTGGAGCATCCCAGGTCCTGCTGCCTACATCAGGGCTGAAAGCAACAAACTTTGCAAGTTACAAATCGACTGCCAGCGGTGGCAGACGGTAACGGAGTCTCTCCATCCTGGAGGGCTCATTCCTGCCTCCAAGGCTGTGTGGAGATAGTGGGGTATAATCAGAGGGCTATAAAAGGGGGGTGGCATTCCCCCTCTTCTCTAGCCTTAGTGAAAGTGTTACAAAGTGAGTCAGGCGGCTGAGGATCATCTGACTGAACTTTCTTGAAACCTACACACATTCTTGTCTGCTGGCTATTTGCTTTTTGCCTCCTTCCCCTAACCCTACCTCCTCTTTCCTCCCAGAACATTTTTTTCCCCCTAAGAAGATTTCCTGCTTTCCTTATGGGTGAAAGGAGAGGAGCTACTAGCCATGGCTTAACTTGGTCCTGGCACTGTCTTTGCTGGGCATCTTTCTGGCCTGAGAATGTGAGAGGCTGGATATTTCAGATTGTTCCTCTCATTCTGTATTTATGTCCCCTGATCTGCCTCATTCTCCTAGGCTTTAAAAAAAAACAAAAAACACTACACATCACCATCTCCTCAGCTTTGGCCAGCCTTTCAAACACAGAGGGACTGACTGCTTTGCTCGTTTTGATTCCTTGTCACTTACTCTATACACACACACACACACACACACACACACACACACACACACACCGTTGACTTCATTAAAATTATATAAAGTGCCATTCTAGGTCTCGGGTGTTTTTCCCCCCTTGCAGCTTCTGTGAATATTGTTGCTATTATCCCTTTCCAGGAATTTCTATATGACGTCGATAAGAATCATCATATTTAGTGTTATCAGCAAAGACACAAGCTCAAAAGTGACATCTTTTCCATGAATCCAGGAAAGAAGAAAAATCCACTCAGTTCAGATAAATCCTTGCAATTCCCAAAGGAAAAGGCATTGGGTATGTATTTGATGAGAAAGAAAATGAAAGAGTGATGGGGGTGGCTCTTCTACCTACTTCTCAAGACCTGGACCCTGCTAAGTCAGATTAAACCCAGTGAAAACACTGACAAGTCTCCAGCTCTCAGCACGTTTTCTCACAGACTTTGGGAAAAGAGACAGGCAATAGTCAAAGTCAGAGAAGCTTTGGGCGACAGACAGACTTGCTGTTGGGTGTTTAGGGTCTACGATAAATGCCTAAAATGACTGAAGTTCAACTTTATCCACTTCAGAGTACAGAAGCTTGTCCCAAATTAAGGGCTGGTCACAGGGGAAATGGTTGCTGTCCCTGACCGCACCCCTCCCTGGTACACTGCATTACCTGGGAGGCCCCAGTAGTCTGTGCCACCAGAGTTCGCAGGGAGCCAGGATCTCTCCCAGTCCCCAAACTGGGCTGTGGCCTGACCTCACTGCTGGAGCCAAGTTGGTATTTCACAGCAAAATCATGAGGGGGGTGGAAGAAGGAAGAGCAAGAGGAAACAAACACTTCACACAGTCTCTTACTGGGAAAGAATACTTCTGGTAGCCAAGCTTTAAATCTCACCCCCCCCCCCCATATATCTCTGTTTAACGTTGGGGGGTAGCTTCATGACACAAAGCTTTTGTTATCCGGATGATCAGCAATGTGCTTGAGATACTTGCAAGGGGGAAAGCCCCACAACAGACATTGATTTTAGAAAATCAATAACTAACATTTAATAAAGGGAACAGAGGAAGCACGAGAGAGGACAGGGGAACACTGGGTGTAATTTTAGTGTCTACTAAATTACCCAGAGATGGAGAAGGGGAGGTCTCCTGTGTAAGGACCACCTTAAATAATGCTAGGCAGCAATGAAGAAAAAAATTAAATTAAAAGAGAGACACACGCACGTAGTTAAAAGGAGGCAGCCTGAACCGAATCTTGGGGACCAGCTTGTAATATATTACTGTCGTTGTTTTTTTGTAATACTAAGCCAAGCAAACAGATCAAAGACAGCACAAAGAGGAAAGGCAGGGTAATATAACGCACAGTTTTTGACTAAAATTCCTCTATCACTCCCCCATATGGCTCTCCACCTCCGCCACAAGCAAAACACACACACACACACACACACACACACACACACACACACACACACACACACACACACACACACCCCAGACAGGAGAGGAGAGGAGAGGAGAGAAAGAGAGATTATTTGTTTCTAACCAGAATCTATAATCTATCTTTTAGTCTTTGTGTCTTACTCCCTCTAGTACCCTAAACTCCCACACTCTCCCCCCCCACCCAACCCTCTGCACGCGGTGCAGCACTGAGGCAGACTAGAGGAGCGCACGACCGTCCTCTCTAGTGGAAAGTTGTTCCAAGTGGGTCCGGTACCCGCCAGGCGCGGGCTGGGGGAGCGAGAGCCCGGGTGTGTGTTAGCACCCCAGCGCCCAGCCCGGGAGCGTCTACACCGCCTGCGCCCCGTGAGCCGGCGGAGAGCGAAAGGAGAGTGAAGTTTCCTTTCCGATTCTGGGCTGGTGCGGCTGGGTCGCTTGTTTGTTTTGAGGGGCTGCTCCCCCCCCCCCCTTTTTTTTTTCCCCTTTTTTTTTTTTTTTTTTTTTTTTTTGCTTTTAAAACTCAGTATCCTCCGTCAGCACCCACCCCCCTGCACCCTCTGCCGTCTCCCAACTCTCTCCCCTCCCCCAAGCGCCTTCCGCGCACTTGCCAATCACTTTTCTCTTTTATTCCCACGATTTTGTTTGGGGGTAATACCTAGGGGTCTCTCTCTCTCTCTCTCTCTCTCTCTCTCTCTCTCTCTCTCTCTCACACACACACACACACACACACACACGCACACGTACGCTTCCACAGTCTCTCTCCGAAATGAACCTAAACTCTCTCTCTCTCTCTCTCTCTCTCTCACACGCACCCCTATAATCTGCCACCTCTGGTCTGCGTGTCCCCTCGCACCCCCATCTCTTTCCTCCTTCCTGATTCAGCCTTGGATAACGGGCTTCTCCCGGGGCTCTTCCTGGCCGTGTAAAAACTGCCGGGAAAACTCTCTCTTGTCCCGGCTCTCGGGCCCGGAGCGGGGCCTGAGCCGGCTGCCGAGGAGCCGGGTCCCCAGCCTGCAGCTCCCGGGCCGGTCCCTCCTGCCCCGGGTTCCCCCGCGTCTGGCCGGGGCCGGCTGCCCGCGGACCGTTACTTGGCGCACAGAGAGAGAGAGAGAGAGAGAGAGAGAGAGAGAGAGAGAGAAGAGAGAGAGGCGGCCCGGCGACTCCGGCAAGAAACTTTGAGGCTGGCGGAGAGGCAGCCCCGGGTCCCCTCCCTCGTCCCCGCCGCCCTCCTGGCCGCCCTCGCCCCGAAGTCCAGCGCGCCCGGCCGCCGGACCCCCGCCCTGCCCTCGCCCCGCCGCGGGGCCGGGGAAGCCGAGCGGGCGGAGGCGGCGGGGGGCGCCGGGTCCGGACGGCCAGCGCCCGGGGGCCCCCCGCGCCCCCCTCCCCGGCGGCCCCGCACTTGCTCGGCTCCCCCCCACACCCGGTGCAGCGGCCGCGCGAGGGGCTCCGGCGCTGGCCGCCGAGAGAAGGTTCGCCCGCGAGCCCCGGGCGCCGCCGCCGCCGCCGCCGCCGCCTTCCTTCTCCCTCTCCTCCCCCTTCTCCCTGCCCGGTGTCCGGGGCGCGGAGTGGCCCGGAAAAGTTTGGTTCGGGCCTCTTCTTACCGTTTTTCCTCCTGGGATTGGCTTGTTTGCGCCTCTTGCACCGGGGGCCATCCGCCATGATCGGCTGCTTCATTGATAAGAGCGGATCAGATGGCAGTTCGCATGGACTCGGCGCCCTGCTCCGGCAGCACGCAGGCTCGATCTAGCAACCAAACACAGCGACAATGTGGGCATCGCCCGCGCCCATTGAAACGCGCACGGGCCGCCCAGGGGAGCCGGGCCAGGGCCCGGGCGAGCACCCATCCGCGCCACCCGGCGCCAAAGCGAAACTTCGGGCGGGCCCCCCCCTCCCCGCCCCCCGCCCCCAGCCCTGGCCCCGAGGCGCTTTGTGTTGTTACTGTTTGGTGTGTTGCACTGGCGAGGGGGGGATCGGAGACAAGAATTACATCTTCAAAATGAGTCATAACTCCTGACCGTATGAGGGAATGCACACGGCGGTACAGTAAGGCTGCTTGACTCCAGGGCTGAGGCGGACCCCTTCCTCCGAAAAGTCCTCAGCCCGGCTCGGGAACTTGGCAGGGGAGGTGGGGGGGGGTCTTTCGCTCTCATCTTTTCTCATCCCTCCTCCGAACCCCCATTCCCAAAGGGGGTTAGGGGGGAGGAGGGGAAAAAAGTAACAAACAAGGCAAAACAGCCCTTGGATGAAGCACACTCGGGTAAATTGATAATAGTAATTACAGGAAGCCCGCTCGCCCCGCGACCCCTCCCCTCCCCTTCGGAGTGGATCGAGGCACTGTCCCTTCCACCCTACACACACACACACACACACACACACACACACACACACACACACCCACACCCACACACACACCCGCCCCCAAATTAAGATTTCCCATTTTTACCTGGCAAAAGAAATATAATCATCAGCCCCTCTGGACAGCGTTCCTCCCCCCCCCCCCCCCCCCCCCCCCCCCGCCAATTTTTACTTACCTCCCCCCCCCACGTGCCCCCACACCGATTTCCTTAAATTCTTCCAGCAGAATTCTTTTTTATTTTCTTTTCCTCTCAAGAAGGGAAAGAGAAAGCCCAGAGCCACTGTGACACTTTTTAAGTTGCTCTGAACGACCGTCTCCTTTCTGACTTCGAAACTTTTGTACCTAAAAACCGAGCGAGGCGCTGCATTTTTTTTTTTTTTCCTCCAGCTGAAACTGTCAAAACTTGGAGAAGGGGAACCTCGGAGGCAGGCAGGCCGGAGGAGCGGAGAACCCTGAAACTCCGCGGGGTGGGGAGATGCTGTGCCTCCGAGGATTAGTTTAAACAGCGGGCTATAAAAGATGTAACAGATGCAAACTGTAACACAAGGGCCGTTAACCCTTTCTCTGCCACCCGGCACGTCCAGCCCCGGCACCCTACACCTATTGTCCTCGGTGCTACCAGCTTTGCGGAAAACCTGGAAAGTGAGTATCAGTTTCCGCACATTTGCTGAGCGGGGGTGAAGGGGGGCCGAGAGAAGGGGAAGTGTCGTAGAAAGCATTTTAAATTTACCTAGGCATACGGAGTAGACTTTCAAGTTTGACACATTAAATATCCTTTCTTGTCTGTCCCATTAATTTAAAATTGTTTTTTTTTTTTTTTGGGGGGGGGGGGTGGATCCTGAAATAAAGAAACGGTTACACAGGCTTCAGGGATGAAACAGCTGCTGGCCTGTCTGCATTTCTGCTGAGACTTACACACCATTGCATATAAAACATAGATTTAATGAAGTAAGTCACTAGTTTTATGAGCCAGTGTGAGTGTGAGGGAAGGATGCTAGCTCTGGGGTAAGCAGTCCTTGCCCTCTTCATTAGAGCGGCAGCATGCAGAACATAAGTAGGTGGGAGATAGACCACTGTGACTCCTGCACTCTCTCTTTTAACTTTGCAGCCCCAAAGTCTGAAAAGGTGTGTGTGTGTGAGAGAAAGAGAGAGCTCCATGAAATCTATGTGTGTATTACTTTGTCATTTAAAATAAAATTTCAGAAGTTACCCTAATTTTAACCCTGATACCCTGACAGCAGTTTTCTTTCCAGCTGTAGTGACCCCCCCCCTTTGGTAAACGACTCAAGTTCCAAGAGAACTTTCACTTCTTTATTTATAATCACAGAAGTGAGGTGTTACTTCACACACACACACACACACACACACACACACACACACACCACACAAAGAATGAAATAAAGAAATGAAACTCGCTAAGCAGACAAAAACAGGCAAGTTTCTGCTTAGAAAACAGCCTCCTCCGGTGGAAAAGGTTAGACTGCCCATGCCTAAGAGAAGGACTTGCTCCCGAATTTTGGTAGGTCCATCTCAAATAAGTTTTATAATTATGAACAGGTATTTGCCAAGTTTTAATTGCTGGATATAATGAATTGGAACTCGGTGTGAAACAAAGCAGAAAATGCTCTCCACTTGATGAGTTTTTACCCCAACCATACAGTTCTCAACAAAACTTTTCCTAGGCTATGTAGTAAAAAACACCTTTGGTTACCTGAATAGACAGGTACAGGGGAAATTACTGGGGGAGGGAGAAAGGAGGGGAAAGGAAGGAGAGAGTGGGAGATGGCAAGAGAAAGCAAAGAAACCACTCTTGGGAAAAGCCTGCCACCAAGGAGCTAAACCACCTGAAATTCCTGCCCAAAGACACCCGGCTCTCTTCAGAATAACATCCCCACTCAAAATGAGAACATTAGAAAAGGAGGTTAGGGGACAAGCACACCCCCCAAAAATGATAAAATGAAGGGGAAAAGAGGGGGGAGGGAAACCTACCTGCGAAGTCTTGTTTGTAGTTTTGGCCAGAAATGGTGAGAAGAAAAAGCATGAAGAAGCCGCGAAGTGTGGGGGAGAAAAAGGTGGAGGCGAAGAAACAGCTCCCGGAGCAAACTGAACAAAACCTCGCCAAGAGTGTCGGGAGGCAGGACCGTTATTCCTGCGGAGCAGGTTAGAACTGATCTCTTTTCGGCCACTCCAGGAAACACAAACCTGGGGACGGACTGACGTGTTACGCCTCTTCTAATGACATTTTTTTCTTTTTCTTTTCTGTAGGGGAGAGAAGAGAGACCCTGAAACACGCGCCACCTATCTTTGTGGGGAGGGATAATTGAAGCGCCCTGAGCGTGAGCATCATGTGAAAACGTGATCGCCAAGTTTCTCTCTGGGAAAAGATCTGGGATAGATTATACCTTGAAGTCTCCGCAAACGCTTTAGTGGAAGAAATGAAATTCCACCTCCCTCCCTTCCTCTCTCCCTCCCCCCCCCCCCTCTCCCCCCCCCCCCCCCCCCCCCCGTCAAGCCTTTGGCATCATTATCCTCATCACTAAATCCTGCAGAGTACTGGGCGGAAAACCGTGCACACCATTCACAGAACTGGCGAACTCCGAGGGGCGAAAGTTAAAGGGAAAGATCTCGGGTCTTCCATGCAGATCTCTTTTCCTAATATCTCTGGTGACTAGGCTTGAGATGCACATCAAGTTGTATGGATACCTCAAGCACTGTTTTTGTAACTAAATTCTTGCCTTTTCTCTTATTACAGTTTTTTAAAAAGATGCTAGAGCTAAGGGAGGAAAATGCTACTTGTGAACTGCATCTTAGGATCTCAGGGTGTGCTTGTGTGTGTGAGAGAGAGAGAGAGAGAGAGGAGAGGAGAGGGAGAGAGAGATTTTCTGTACTGGATCCCTATATTAAAAGTACTTTGGCATTTTAATAAAGGGTCTCTAGATTAACGTAGAGCAGCACTATGTTGGCCAACGTCTGGATCTCTCTTTATCTACGCAGATCACACTACAAAGTGAGGGGTTGGGGACAGGAGGAAGAAGGAAAAAGGCCAGAGGAGCTTAGGAGGGAAGAAAGAAGAGGGTGACATTAAACTGTGTGGGGTCTAAGTTTTGAAGTACATATTTTTTGATATTGCAATTAAAGTAAAATTAAAAAGAAAAGACTCCACCTTTGCTCTGAAGGGATTGGTTATGCAAATATGGAAGGGATTTCCTGGAGAATACAGCTTTCTACTGTATGGTTAATTAAATAATCACTCAAAAGCTTCCAACGTGACGCTTCTGTCGTAATCCAATCAGGTTACATAGGTCCTAAACAAGAAAGATATTTTCCACATCTGGAAGTCAGCAATTTAGCAAGTACTGCACATTATTAACCAATTCAGAGCCCACTTCCCAGGGGAATTTTTTTTTGAAGTTTAAGTGTTCTTAACCAATGCTCTGCTGTTTTGTTAATCAAAAAGCTGGTTTACACTGCACATAATTGGAACTAATATAGAAGTAAATAAAGACAGCCACATTTGAGGATGCTCTGTGTGTATCAGAAAGGGAAGAGACTCCTTTGACTCAACAGCTAAGGCTCTTAAAATACTGGGAGACACCCCCCCATCATTTTAAATAGTGAAAGTATTCAAGAACCTGAAGGCACAGATACAGGGCCAGCCCCACAGCCTGTAGGCTCCTTGTGTAAAGGTGTGGAGATATGAAGAGGGTCAAACAGCTGCCTTTTGCCAGTTTGTTTTTCTGCTTTAATACTCTCAAATATGTCATAGCCTCCTGTTTTCAGTCTGAAGAAACCTGAAACAAATAACACCCTGATCCAACACTAGACTTTTACCCATATTAAGATAAACTGCTTTGAACTGTGCTTTGAATGTGTGCCTACAGCAAGACTTTGAATGCAAGAGTCACTGGCGATTGCACTCAAAGGAGGGAAAAGCCACCACAGGGCTGCCTCATCCACACTCCCAGAGCTACAGGGCTTTGTATTTTGCATGTTTATTTTTCAGTGGCGGTGGGGGGGGGAGGGTAATAGCCACCCAGCATGACCACAGCTAGATTTCATTCTAGGGTGCAAGAAAGCGGATTTTCACAGCTGGTTACACACACACCTCTTCCCTAATTTGAGCATTTACAATGAGAATGATTGGATAAATTAATTTCTCCCTCACCCCTACCCCAGATAAAAGTACCTATAGATGGTCTATAGGTTGTAGAGATTTTCAGCCCAAAATCACTAGTGGGGGAAAAAAGATTTCCAACTCGTATCAAGCACATTCGTACCATTATTTTACATTCCTCATGCTATCTTGTCTCTGTACTAAATATGTGTAAGACTTATCAAGTTTCTTCCTCTAAGATTTATCACTACTGTTCATATCCTTTTTCCTTCCTCCTCTTTCCTCAAAAAAATAAAAAAATAAAAATAAAAAATCAGAGACCAGCTTTCTGCCTTTAAGCCTCCCTCTCCCACTGCGGAGGAAAAAGTAGCCTGTTGTATGGAGTGACGGCTGGCAGGACCCTTCTGCGAGCACCCAGGTAGCCAGCCACTGGACGTTTTTATTTTTTATTTTTAGCCCAGAAAGGCACAATTCGACTCTAGAGCAAGTCGAACAAATAGCTAACAAGCCACTGTCTCTATCATGGATATAAAATGTCTTCTTACTACAGAGCTGACAAAATAGACTATTAACTATTTCAATTAAATGCACCTAATTATCCGATTACCTTGACCCAGCCATCACTCCAGTGCTTAGGAGGCGGCGGCCCCCAATAGTTAGCAACTGAGTTTCGACACGTTTTCCCACCTATTTGGTACGAAGAAACAGATCCCGAACAAAACAAAACCAACTTCAGTTTCCTAGGTTCACTTGAAGGTGGACGCTTGGGTGGTGGCACAGGAAAGATCGCGAGGGCTGAGTGCAGGGCTAGGTTGCCCACTGCCCTTGCCTGGCACGCCCCTCCCCAAGCTTTTGACCGAGAGTGTTCCCACCGTCGCCGAGGCAGAGGGATCAGAGGAAGCTGGAATATAAATTTGTTCGGAACACTCCCTGAGTCCCAGGGCCAGGTCAGGGACAATGGGGACCGTGGGACCCACACGATACAGGAGGGCAGGATGAAAAGTCCGGAGGGGACCAGGGACGCCTGCGGGGCTCCTCACGCAGCAATAACAAGTCCCGGGAAGGGAGGACCAGCCTCTTTTCGGACGGTTTCACCCCCCAACCCCGTTAACAATCCACTTCGAGATTAGCGCGGGAGAAGGGGATTAAAACAACAGACACACGCAAATGTGAAATAATATTGACATCGACCTTGGAGGGGAAAAAAAAAATTCTTGAGGGTTTCCTTGGGTAAAGACAACTGCTCCTCTCGGCCCCCCCCCCCCCCAACCCCAGCACCCCCCGGCAGGGTGAGGAGGACACCCTTTTGTCTTCCCACTCCCGGCAGCGGGACCCGGAGCCTGTCCCCCCTTTCACCTCTCAGTCTGTCAATTTCCTCAACTTTCACAGCCGCTCCCCCGCCCCCACTCCTCCCGCTGGCCCAGAGGCCCAAAGAGGTACGTTTCTGCCCTTGGACACACAAGCCGAAGAAAGAATTCGAATTTGGCCACAGCTAATGATTTTTTTTTTTTTTAAAGGAAATTGTGTTTATTTTGTACCATGTGGGGAAAATAAAAGGGAAAGAGAGAGAGAGAGAGAGAGAGAGAGAGAGAGAGAGAGAGGCTTCTTCTCTGGTTTAGAAACGGGATTGCTCTTCCACCTCAGGGAAGGATTCCAACTCTGTTGCTCTGCAGGCGGTGAGGGAACTTCTCTGAGAGTTGCGAAGCAAAGGCTGCTACCCCGGGACCCCTGGATGAGGTGTGTGAGGGCACCGCGGGGTCTGAGCCCAGCCAAACGGTTTTCTCACGTGAAAACTCGCAATCCAATCCGTTCGGAGTTGAGCCTGGGATGGGAGGGTGGTGGCTGGGGGTGGGGGGAGAAGAAGAAAGCCTATTAAAAAAAGAAAAAAGAAAAGAAAGAAAAAAAAATCGGGAGCATCTCAGAGAAGCCCTTTCAAACCCAACCAAAACAGGACCCGGGAGCGTCCCTCACCTCCCCGCTGCGAGGCCCGCGGGGCCGTGGAACCTCGCACGTCACCTGGCCCCAGCGGGGCGGCCAGCGGAGGATTTGATTTTCCCATTTCATTGGCAGGAGAGGCTGCATCCCGGCTTTGCGGGGCCGGGGTGGGGGTGGGGTGGGGTGTGGGGGGGTGTTGGGTGGGGTGGGGTGGGGGGGTGTCCGCCCGCGTCTCCGCTGACGGGAACCAGCAAACTTCAGGACTCAAATGAGCATCTTAATTTATTGATGCAGAGCAGGTCTGCTCGTGGTTCCCGGTCCCCGGCGCGCTCGCCTGTCCCCCCCCCCATCCTCCTCCCCATCCCTCCCCCCGCGAACTTCGCTCCCTCCGTCGGTCCCCCGAGCACGTGGGGGGACCCGGCGGCCCGCAGCCCTCCTCGGCACACACCCGACCCCGCCCTGGCACCGCGCGACCCCCCTCCCCCCCGCCCCGCTCCCGGTCAGCTGACCTGGCTCGCCGGCCTGCTCCCCGCCCGCCGCCCCGTTTCCGGTCCCCCGGGTCCGCGAGCCCCGCTCGGCGAGGAAGCAGCGGCGGCCGGGAGGTGATGCAGGGGGCTGATTATCATGAGAAAGGCTGTGCCTGGAAAAGCCTCCTCCACGCGACTGTCAGTCTCACAAAAGGGTGGTGGTGGTGGCGGTGGTGGCGGTGGCAGGAGAAGGGGCTCTGGAGGAGTCCCCAGAAAACTTGCAGCAAGTTGGATGCGACGCAGGCCCGAGGAGGTGGCTTTCGCCTCAACTTGGAAGGCTGGGCAGTGAGGGTGCGCACGCCAGCAGCCTCGCCTGGGGACTGGGCGCCCCAATCCCCCTCCTTCCCTTCCTCTCGCCCTGCTTTTAGCCCTCCCTGCCCTTTAATCCACATTTTCTTGCAATTCTGTCGTAATTGGCATTTCCTACATTCTCCTTTCTTTCTAGATTTCTTTCGCAATCTCGTTTCTCCCAACTTACCTTCTCTGTAGATTCTTTACTTTTTTTTTTTTTTTTTTTTTTTTGGTGTCTGCTTCCTGCGTCCAGATTTATCATTTCGTTTTCAAAACAGTGTTTAATATGCAATTAATCTACCAGCAGGAGGTCAGGGACACCCTGACTAAAATAACTCCTGGGTCATAAGAGGCAAGTTATCCAGGTGTCAGTAAAAAGTAAAATAATAATGAAAATAAATTAATATCTCAGTGACTGTAACAGCTTATTACTCTCTATTATTATATTCAGCTCTGACAGATACTTTTTTTTAAAAGATAGACTCTTCCTGGAAAAATATGAAAATAATTCGACACAGGGAGAATCACTGTAATTAAGGAAACATGCAAATTGTTCTT